CACACACACACACACACACACACACACACACACACACACACACACACACACACACACACACACGCTCAGTTTTTGGTTTGTTAACCATTCACCCAGCCATCCAGAAAAAATAACTGTTTTGCAGCAAAAAAATAAAATAGACAATATTATAAAACGGCGAAGAATTTAAATACAAGTTTACAAGAGCCAGATTAGAGCTGAGATAAATCCGTGATGTAACCTCTCGGGGTAAAAAAAAATCAAATACGCAGACCTAATAAACAAACAAATAAATAAATAAAGACTTAAAATCTGGATAAGTAAACGAGAAAAAAAAATCTTATGAATTTTGTGCCCAGGGCGAGYCACAGAGAGCTCTGCTCTGAGATGAAAGTGAAAAGAAATAAAAGGCTCTATTTAATCTGCTTTAAAACCCCTCTCCTCATATAAGGGCCGCGCTTCAAACTCGGGGAGTGAGGGGCTGATTGGGGATAAATACATTTCTTACCATGCCTCCAAGCTATTACACCCGGCACGAACACAGCCACCTATTCAGCAAACCATCGTTTCCACTGCTTACTCTAATAAGTATTAACGTTATTAAACGCCATCCGGATGCAAACTGCATTACGCACGGAGTTGGGCTCTTTTTATAGCAACCTAATTCAATCCCAATTTAAAACACAAGCAGCACTAAAGGAGACAAGGACTCTGTGACATCGTGGATGTTTGGCTACGAAAATTAAAAGTCAAAATGAAARCAATGATTCTGTGCCGTCGTCCAGCGGGCGCGTCGTGCGTAAAAGTTGTGCGTAAAAGCTCGAACTCCACAACACGTTATTTTTTTTAGCCAGCAGGGATTTCAGCCCATCTGTGTGGACACAGGAGACATTTGCAGAAAAAAATGGTGACATTTTTCTCCTAACATTAACGCGTGGTGTGACCGAAAAAAGAGACCGTTTTCACGCTATATACTGATTCTTCTCCAACGAGCCATTATCCAAAATTACAAAACTATCTAGCAGCGGGGCGTACTGAATAATTCATCTCCTTTTATGTTTCTCCTCGCCTTTTGTCCAAAGTTTTTTTTTCTTTTACCAGCTTTTTAAATGTGAATGGACAGGGCCATAGTCTGTTTTTTTTTTTTTTTTTTCCGTGGCTGTGCTTTCTAGGGTTTGCTTTAATACCTTGGTCTCTTCACTTTGGAAAGGCATCAATAAAGGGAACGTTTTGTTCCTGAAGTTCATCTTCAAGTTTGAAAAATAGAAAGGGGGAAAAAAAGAGGCTTTTGTGATTTCTTTTAAATCTAGAGTTCGTTCTCACGTTTTATCATCAAAAGCAGAGCGTTTCTGTCGTTTGCACAAAAAAAGAGGCGGTTTTGGAGGCGTTGCACCTCTCACTTTGTGACCAAACAGTCACGCTTAAACCAATAAAAAAACCGACAATAAAATGACGCGTTCTTGTCAAATGTCACCTTTAAAAAAATACTGCAATCCTCTAAATGTTTCTTAATTAAATTTGGACCACAATAAAATCCAGCACATAATATTAAATACTAATTTATAATTATTTATAAGCAAATAACCGCACATTTTCCTATTTCCTTTCATCAGCAGTGGAGAAAATAATAACCATACGAACACTGATTTCCACCTTAAGTGACAAGTGGTGAAAATGTCAGCAAAGTGACATCGATTGAGAAATGGGTCAACTGTCAGCTGTCGTTTGGGGACTCCTTAAATGAGCGAATGAGTGAGGAGGAATGCGCTACACAAATTAATTTTCAGCAGCTAAACACCTTCTGCCAGGACTCTCATAAATAATGGAGTGGATGAACAACTGCTGGCTCCGAGTTAAAAGCAGGAAAGAAAAATAAATAAATACATAAACAGGGGAAAAAAATGTCTGCGTTTAGCTGCAGCTCGGTGGGACAATTTCCCAAGAGGCCGTGAGGTGGGAGGCAAAAAGTAACATTTGCGTCTAGTTTGTAATAATAATAAT